GTGTGTCAGAAGGCCCGGCTACTTACCCTCCTGCTTCATCCTCATTCCCAAACGGAATGAGGATCGAAGCAGAGGGCGGGGTAAAGAAGGGGCGGGGCTTCACCACGTGACCGCCCCACCCCCTAGAGGTTCTCTTCCGGAGCTCCATACCTGAGAGCTCCCCCCCGACTAGAGCCCTGAAGATAAATGAAATGAAGGGATCACTGCAAAAGCATCTTTATATGTTTGTGCATACCAACAGTATTACAGGGATCAGATGTGGAAGAAAAATCATACAGTCAAAATGGAAGCCGATGAAAATCATGCAAAACAATGCCAACGGGGGGGGGGGGACCAAGTGGGGACTCAAACCTGGTTCTCCCAGATTAGAGTCCGCACACTTAACCACTACACCAGACTGGCTCTCTATATAGCCTATTCTTGTCAGATCGTGGCAGGGGTGGTACTTGGATGTGCATCTCTGGGCCAAGGACATCTCTACAGAGGAAGGCGATGGGCAAACCACAGGCCTTGGAAGCCCCTTGCTGGGATTGCCATAAATCAGTTGTGACTTGACAGCACATTATGTATGGGTAAGGCCCATTGCACAAGGGCCTGGCAGAGGGGCGTGTGTGGCAGGTCAAGGAGCAACTTAGCATGCAGGTGTCCTGAAGGTATCTTGGTATCCCGAGCTCATTGGTTTAGGTGTTAAGGCAATCTTAAAAAAAACAAACACACCACAACAACGATAGGTGCTTATACTTAACCACAGATGAAGGTTCTGAATCTGATGCAACAAAATCTATGCTCAGCAGCCAGAGCTACAATGATCAGCAGTTTAAGCAGGGAAGGGGGATGGAACTGATCCACTCTCCCACTTTTCCATAGGTGGGACTTCAGTGTTTTTAAAAGGGCTCTGTGTTTGCAGTTCTGGGAGCTACGTTGGGTGTGAGAACTGCGTGCACACAACACCTGCTCACAGACTAGATACCAACCTGAAATACACCATACAAAAAGAACCATGCCACTCTAGTGGCGGCTACAAGCATAGACAGCTTCAATAGGGGATTAGATAAACATACGGAGCAGAGGTCCATCAGTGGCTATTAGCCACAAGGTATAGATAGAACACTGTCTTGGGGCAGTGTGGCTCTGTATTATTGATGTTTGGAGAGCAACAGTGGGAGGGCTTCTAGAGTTCTGGCCCTACTGGTGGATTTCCTGACAACACCTGGGTTTTGTCCACTGTGTGACACAGAGTGTTGGACTGAATGGGCCACTGGCTTGATCCAACATGACTTCCCTTATTTTCTTCCTAGAGCAGGCAGCTGCAGAACTCTGAAGAACCAGTTTGCCAGCTTCCCTTGTTTATGGACTCCTCACCCCCCAAAAAAAAGCTTCCCTTGTTTATGGACTCCTCACCCCCCCCCCAAAAAAAAAGAGAAAACCCAGAATGCGGAAATACTCCTCTTCTAAGCAGTCACTCCCCACCATTCACCAAATAGGGTGAAGATGTCCTTTACATGCCAACTTGTCTCCCTTGGAACTATCCATGGTACTGAAGATAGCATCTGGCTAATTGTCTGGTCTGCTACCCACTTCTCTAGATTTCTACTCTCTCAGGCTAGTTTTTGGAGCTGCGGTGGCTCAAGTGGTTAAGACGCTGAACTGCAGGCTGTGGAAGGTCGGTAGTTCAGCAGTTCGAGACCTGAGTATGCCGCACGACGGAGTGAGCTCCCATCTCTAGTTCCAGCTCCTGCCAATCTAGCAGTTCGAAAGCAAGAAATTGCAAGGAGATAAATAGGTACCGCTTCAGTGGGAAGGTAACAGCGTTCCGTGCGCCTTGGTGTTTAGTCATGCCGGCCACATGACCACGGAAACGTCTTTGGACAGCGCTGGCTCTTCTGCTTTGAAACGGAGATGAGCACCGCAACCCTAGAGTCGAATTCGACTGGCTTTCGAGCAAGGGAACCTTTACCTTTACCTAATTGTCTGGTCTGCTACCCACTTCTCTAGATTTCTGCTCTCTCTAGCTAGTTTTAACCAGCTCCCTTGCTCCCGCCCACAGTTCCAGTGCCCCCCCCCCAGCAGATTTCATTCTGACTGTGTGGGCACTGATCAGCGATGAGAGGGCTCTCACTGTGCTGTATAAACATGAGCCTGCTTCTCTGAGTGCACAGCTCTCAATCAGTAAAGAATAAGAAGAAGAGATTAGATTTATACACCACCCTTCATTATCCAAAGGAGCCTCAGAGTGGCTTACAATCTCCTTTCCCTCCCCACAACAGACACCTGGGGAAGAAGGTGAGGCTGAGAGCGCTCTTGAGAACTGCTTGTGAGAGAACAGCTCTGAAACAGCTTGTACCTGACCCAAGGTCACATCAGCAGCTGAATGTGGAGGAGTGGGGAATCAAACTCAGTTCTCCCAGATTAGAGTCCGTGCTCGTAACCACTACACTAAACTGGCTCTCAAAAGGAATTTACAATATCATTTTTTTAAGTCTATCAATGATCATACTAAAGTTCCGAACTTGCATACATTAGTATTGTAACTCTATCTCTTTTTTTTAAGTTCTGGGAACTTCAGAAAATATATCTATGCAATTAAAATATTTTTTTCTTCTACCACCCACCAAGGCTCAGAGCAATTAACAACAAAAACATTTAAAAACAATGTAGTACGCTACAAATACAAGATTGGGAGCGTTGAGCAGTTTTCAACAGAGATAAAAACATCCCCATATGGTGCTACGCCCCCACCTATATAAGTTTTGTCAGTTTTTAGAATCAACAAAAATGTGTTACGGAGCAGGTAGGTCTTATGAATGATGGGCAGAGTGGAGGCCTAGTGAGCTGCCTCACTTTAAACTCTGTGTAATTAAGGAACCATTCTTAAAAATGCCTGGCTCCTGCGACATACCCAGCCAGACTCCCTGGGAGGATGGCGCTGTGAGCAGATATTGATGTGAAGATCTAAGAAGCTGTACATGTGCATGGCGGGAAAGGCAATCCAAATGTGTGGAATGCAGATCTTGAAGGGGTTTAAAGGTGGTTGACCACTGCCACAGGAAGTGGTGGGTGCTACAAGCATGGACGGCTTCAAAAGGGAATTAGATAAGCATATGGAGCAGAGGTCCATCAGTGGCTATTAGCCACACGGTATAGATAGGGGCTCTGGGGCAAGTGATGCTCTGTCATCTTGGTGCTTGGGGGGGGGGTCAACAGTGGGAGGGCTTCTAATGTCCTGGCCCCACTGCTGGACCTCCTGATGGCACCTGGTATTTCTGGCCACTGTGTGACACAGAGTGTTGGACTGGATGGGCCTTTGGCCTGATCCAACATTGGCGTCTCTTATGTTCTTATGACCACACCTTGTATTCAACCTGGAAGCAAATCGGCATCCAGTGAAGTTGGAGGGAGTTGCTCTGCCCCCACGTGTGCTGGCAGGTTGCCCAAGAATGGCCTACATCATCCATACATTAGCCAGCATTGCCAAAGACGGGTGGCATTGGATACTTTGACAGTTGGACAGTCGTTCTGGCCTCCCCTGTCCATGGACCTTTTCCCAGTGCCCTTACTGTTCTGGATACTACTTGGGCACTGGGGTTTCTTGGGGTAACTATCCCTGCCTGACATGAGGAATGGGTTTTTGTCCTCATCTATTTCTGCCATCTATTGTTTTATGGTTTTATGGTTTTTTTTGGTAGTAACACAATGTTCCCTCTAAGCTGAGTTAGTGTGAGCTAGCTCACAGTTTTTTAGCCTCTGTCTCACACATTGTTGTCTTAGCTCAGGAAGGAGGGCTCCAGAGCAAACTAATTTATGCAGTAGCCAAATCGCTCGCTCAAAGCTTTAATGCCAGAAGCTCACAAAGTAGAACTTCTGCTCACAAGACTCCACAGCTTAGAAGAAGAAGAAGAAGAAGAACAGACACCCTGTGAGGTGGGTGGGGCTGAAAGAACTCTGACACAAACTGCTCTTTTTCAAGGACAGCTGTGCCAGAGCTTGTGACTGAGCCAAGGTCACATCAGCAGGTGCAAGTGGAGGAGTGGGGAATCAAACCCGGTTCTCCCAGATTAGAGTCCGCACACTTAACCACTACACCAAACTGGCTCTTAGAAGGAGCATTGGTTGTAAGCCACCCTGGCCCATTTTTTGGGGGTAGGGCAGGGTAATAAATAAATAAATACATGAAGTTGCTCAGGCAGATTAAGAGGTCCACTGGCTAAGATACAGTGCTATAGTTTTGCTGTCTATATAGGACCTGCACCAACTGAGAGTACACCTTAGGGCAATGAAGGAGACTCTAGGAATTTTTCCGCATGTCCTGCCTTGACCTCCCACTCATTCAACCCCGCTTTCCAGTCATTAGGGGGCCCTCCTAGGTTAAGTTGCTCAAGGGTTTGCAAACAATTGAAGCCAGCGATATCAGGTATCGATACCAGGGGATATGCGATAGGGGAGACAGAGGCAAGAAGACAGAGATCAAAGCAGAACCAATGGGTTGAAATTAAATCAGAAGAGTTTCCCGCTAAACATTAGGAAGAACTTCCTGACAGAGCGGTTCCTCGGCGGAACAGGCTTCCTCGGGTGGTGGTGGGTTCTTCTTCTTCGGAGGTTTTCAAGCGGAGGCTAGATGGCCATCTGACAGCAATGCTGATTCTGTGAACTTAGGCAGGTCGTGAGAGGGAGGGCAAGAAGGGTTGTCTCAGTGCTTAGTTCTTGTGGCCCTTTCTTACACGCCCAGGGAAATGCTGATCATCACTTTGGGCTCAGGAAGCAATTTTCTCCAGACCAGTTTGGCTGGAGGTCCTGGAGGTTTTTTGTCATCTTCTGGGTGTGGAACAGGGGCTCACAGGGTGTGTGGAGGGGGAGGGACTTGTGAATGTCCTGCATTGTGCAGGGGGTTGATGACACCGGGGGTCCCTTCCAACTCTATGATTCTATGAAAGCCCTGGTGAAACAATCACAAATAATGGGAACTCATTTGGAGGGGATCGTTTTTAGGCCACATTATTTACCATTAAGGCTGCTTCTGTCAATCAAGTTTGTGTCAACCGGCCAATAGGCTCCATCACCATGACGACCTGGGGGGGAAAGGGGAAAAAAAACAGTGTCAGAACAGAATGGAAGATATATCCTCAGCCAAGTGTGGCTCAGTGCTTCAAACAGCGATGATTTGACATTTACACCCATTAGATATTTGCGAGAGGCAGCAATTGTCCATCTGCATTGGGGGAGAATTTGACATAAAAGGACCCTTTTTCCCAGCCAAAAGGCTTTGAGCGTTTGGAATCGCTTCCTCATCCCTGGCCCTTCTCACCATCCCTTTACTATTCACCATTGCTAGTTAAAAGGGACAGCATAAAGTGAAGCTGTGGTATCAGTCAGAATATTCTCTCTTAGAAGATGACAAGTCCTAAGGAAGAGCCATCCCTGCCTTCATTTGGGTACAGTCACATCTCCATAGTTCACTGATCGCTCCACTTCTGACATGTCTCTCAAGCAAAGGTAGATTTTATTATTCCCCCAGGTGTACCTTGTCGAGTGCCTCAATATTTATGCTCCTCCTCCATTGCTTGGCACGTACATTCCATATAATGTTATAGCCCTCTATGCAAGGTCAAACCCTGTACAATAGGAATCAGAACTTGAAAGCTTCAGGGTCTAACATGGAAGGGATGGACCACCTTTTCCCACCTGAGAGGGGTGTGTGGAGAAAGTGGCACGGGTGGCAATGGGGCTTGCAGACGGTCTAGTCCAGGGTCGACAGAGACCCTCTGTCCTTCATCCACTAATCAGATGAGGCTTGCCAGTGAATCCACTTGTTGACCAACATTGCATCATTTCACAAGGGTTCTTTCGTTCCTTCTTTGTAGATTTTATAGCCAGTGGCAAACTAAAGAACATGGCATCAGTGTGATGAACTGTCGTCTGGGCCACTTCTCTGCTAACATTCTCATTGCTAAACCTCTGTACCCTGCAGTTGTGGACAGGTTTACATCGGGACCACACAGCGCAGCATCCAGACAAAAATAAAAGAGCATGAAAAATCAGCAGTGGCTGAACATAGCCTAACTCAAACAGGACACAGTATCTTATTCCAAGACACTGGACAACACATCCAATTACCATGTCAGATTACACAGAGAAGCCATTGAAATTCATAAACATAAACACAACTTCAACAGGAAAGAAGAGAGTTTAAAAATAAATATGGCATGGTTTCCTGTCCTAAAAAACACAAAATGCTCTACATCTTACAATACCACTACAGATAAGTTGTCAAAGATTTTCACAGCTGGAGCTCATTAGTTGTTGTAGATTTTCCGGGCTGTATGGCTGTGGTCTTAGCATTGTAGGACCTGATGTTTTGCCAGCAGCTGTGACTGGCATTCTCAGAGGTATAACACAGAAAGATGGAGTACTCTCTGTGCCGAGGTGAGAAGAAAAATGGCAGGCAGGTAATTTATGTCTAGTCAGGAAGGTGGGGTAGGACTGAGTCATTGTCTTGTAGGAGTTCCCCATGCTGTGACATGCTAATAGAGGAGCATTTGTAAGGAGGTTCTTTTTCAACAGCCAATCCATGTGCAAATGAACCTCCTCAGGAAAGCTCCTCCATTAGCATGTCACAGCCTGGGGATCTCCAACTCAGCCCTACCCTACCTTCCTGATATAAATTACCTGCCTACCATTTTTCTTCTCACCTTGACACAGAGAGTACTCCATCTTTCTGTGTTATATCTCTGAGGATGCTAGTCACAGCTGCTGGAAAAACATCAGGTCCTACAATGCCAACACCATGGCCATACAGTCTGGAAAATCTACAACTAATGAACTCCGGCCATGAAAGCCTTTGACAACATACACAAAAGTCTGGCCCAGGCAGGCAGCACTCCAAGACCTTCTTGTTCTGTGTCTGCCTCCTGGACACTTTCTTATTTCTGACTCTGTTTTAAAATATTATTTCAAAGCTTCTTTTCTGTGCTTTTAGGTTTTTGCTTGGGGATGTGGGGGGGGAGCCTTTTTCTTTCTTTCTGTTCCTTTCAAAGTAGTTTATCTTGTTTTATTTTTTACTTTTGCTATTTTTAAAACATAAAACCATTAGAGAAGCCATGTCAGATCAGGTGAATGGCCCATCCGGTCATTCATTCTGTGTCACCCAAGTGCCATCAGGAGGTCCACCAGTGGGGCCAGAACTCCAGAAACCCACCCACTGTTGCCCCCTTAAACACCAAAAATACAGAGCATCACTGGCTCAGGGTTAGGTTTATTTATTTATTTGATTTATATACCACCCTCCCTGAGCTGGCTCAGGGCAGTGTACAACAATTTAAAACATTCAATTAAAATAATGTTAAAATAATGATTTGCACATAATAATATCATATCAAAAAATACCATGTAAACAGAGAGATCAGATGTTAAATCAGTCTGATATCTAATCAGATGTCCAGTCGGGACAAGGCCGCTGATGGATGAATGGCCGAAAAAACTGGGTGGGGAAAACCTGGTTCTCTTCTCTTGTCCTTTAAAAGTAATTTTAACTGCTTTTTCCATTTTCTCTGTTTCTGAGACTGTTTTTAATTCTAAAGGGTTTGTGCTGGGGGGAGGGAGTTGGATACTCTGGCTTGGTTCTGTTGGGCTCGCAGCAGTACCCGCTCTTTAAGTTGGATTCTCTGGTCTGAGGCAGGTTCTGCCAGGCTTGCCGCATTGGGCCAAGATTCTGCGGGGATTCTCTGCATGGGTGCGGGACCATGTGGGAACTATATTTAAGCTCCTTTGAGCAGGGTAAAACAAAAGTTGTGAGATTTCACAAGTTACTTCCTACATATTTTCACATGCTTCTTTTTTCCTTTTCATAGAACTCGGAATTTCCCCGTGGGAAATAACAGACAATCCTGGCCAGGATCCAGAGATGGTGTATACACACTCAGAGCACTTCCAATATGTCTAACGCTGCCTGATTGTTCCCTTAGTCTTATGGGTTGGCTAATTCTTCTCTTAGCCCTTATTCTCCATAAAGCCTTGCAATGTGCTGTGCTGGAGATCACCAGCATTCATTTTTTTACAATTTTCAAAAGTTTATTTAGAATATATATGAACATAGTAACAGAGATAGAGAGGAAGAAACAAGAAAAGTCATTCCAACTACATTATCTGGTTCTTGATATTTAACAAGTTGTAAGTGCGAACTATAAACTAGTATAATACAGAAAAAAGGAAACAATTAACAATTGTATACAGTCATAACATCTCGTTATACTTAGCATGAATCACCACCATTCATGAGGCTACCTATGGGAAGAAGGGACTGAAAACCCCCAGTGCACTGGATGATAAACATCCACACAGCACTTTGGATCTTAGGCATTATTTTAATGATCACTTAACCAGTGAAAAAGAGCTACTGACTTGCCCACTCATTAAATGTGTACACAAATCCAAGGTTAAATTCAGACGGGGGAAAGCTGACACTGGATAAGTATTATGTTAACAGATGAATTCCTGCTTAGTCATCATAGACTTCTCCCTGGTCCCCGTATCTTAACACATCAAGTTGAAGCGGATGTCCCAGGGTCTCCATCCTCCACTCATGGACCATAATAATAAGACCATCTCCCAAAGAAATCCCTTCTCAAAGCACAATCATAACTAGGTTCCATACGTCCAGTAAAATTATACAAAACTGCCCAACTTATTCAAACCACAGAAGTGGGAAAAGACATTCTAGACAGAGTATTAACAACATTAAACTGATGCAGAGTGATGCTTCTTCCCTACGAAGGCAAGACTGTGATAATTATGTAGATTTCTCCCCATGACTTGACAGAAAATCCATAACTCGTCAAGATGCTCCACAATCTCTCCAATAACATGCAAAAAAGAGAACCTCTAGCTATCTTCGGTCAATTCCAGTTCTAAGAATATTTTCCAAAAAGGCAGCAGCGTTACACATAAATGCTCATACCAAACTTCTCAGTCTAAGTACCTAAAATGCCAATGCTGAACTGTAGTTTCCTTCATCCACTTTTGCCTTTTCTTTAAAACTTATTTTTTTCCATTATTCTTAGAAACCACAGTGGTTACGACATTAAACGGAGTGCCAGTGAGTTGAGCTGCAACCCTAAATACATTTATATGCAAGTGAGTTTTATTATAAGTTCGGTAATTAATGAAGTGGGACTCAATTCCGAGTAATTATGCTGAGGAATGGACTGCAAATCAACCTCGACGCTAAGCCGCTTAGTGCGGGAGCCCCAGCTCTGTATCCGAGTCTCCTTCATGGCCGCAGGAAGGGCACTGCACGCATTGAACCCATCACTGGGTACTGAGCCGAACGAGTGTTCCACCTAACCCTGCCAGCTCTAGCTGATGGTTCCTATAAAAGGTCTTCCCCCCAGCATTCCTACCTGCGATCTATTCAACTGGAGATGTCAGGGACTGAACCTGAGGCCATCTGCAGGCAACACACTTGCTTTATCACTAAGATAAAGGCCTTCCCTTCCTCTGACATGATGAACATCAGTCTCCTCTGGAGGCGATAGGCCCAAGGCTGTGATCATACACACAATCAGACCCAACATAGGTGTGAATGCCGGGCGGATTTAAAGGGTGTGATCAGACAGCAACATCTGAGAAGAGCCCCACAGCCGTTGGCAACCTGTTCTGCTCCGCTGCAGAAGTGGAGTTAAAAGACACCGGGGGGAAATATGGTAGTAAATGGGCCATGGATGGACCTTCCCATGTCTGATCACTCCAGCGCTCTCTCATGGCATCGGGATGGTCTGATGGAGAAGAAGTTCTAATGAAGATTTTTGAGGGCAAATGGCTGTATTACAAAGAATGTCAGAATGGAAGAACAGTTACCAAGCTTTAATATTGTTCTTAGTGGCCTGAACACCACAGACTTGCCTCAGCAGGCCCAGGGATTAGTAAGAAGAGGTTTTGTGGAGCACACTCTCTGTAAAGACATGGAATGCTCCAAATAGTTCTCACTTTCCACAGCACTTTTGGTATTACTCACAAGCAGTGTTCCCTCTAAGCTGAGTTAGCGTGAGCTAGCTCACAATTTTTTAGCCTCCAG